AGGGAACTCCGTTAACGTTAGAGAATATAACAGTAGATCCACCCAAAGGTAGTGAAGTACGGGTGCGGATGGTATCTGCGGGTATCTGTGCCAGTGATGCCCATTACATATGGGGTCAACAGACAGATGCTGACCTAGACTTTGGCGGTAAGCCAGTGGTGTTAGGCCACGAGGGGGCCGGTGTGGTCGAGTCGGTCGGACCTGATGTGAAGAGTGTAGGTGTGGGCGATCACGTGATAATGCTATGGTTGCCTAACTGCGGGAAGTGTCCGCTCTGTGCGCACCCGAAGACCAACTTTTGTATGAGTGTTGACCCGTACTCCACGTTATATCACGAGAAAGGGGTGACGCGAATGAAAATCAATGGCGAAAACTTGCTATCATTTCGTAATTTTTATTATAATTTATTATTATAAATAACTTATTTCTTGTTTTTCACTTGATTAGTTGGCACGAGTACTTTCTCGGAGTATATAGTGGTAAGGGAGGTTCAAGTTGCTAAGGTAATCATTTATTTATTACTCTCTTATTTCTAAATTTTATATTTTATATTCAGATCAATCCAAAGGCTGATCTCAAGACAGCCTGTGTGATAGGCTGTGCTGTTGGCACGGGGTATGGAAGTGTTGTTAATATAGCCAAAGTACATCCCGGTGCCAAATGTGCCGTTTGGGGTTTGGGTGCCATTGGGTTGTCAGCTGTATTGGGCTGTAAACAGGCCGGCGCTGCGACCATAATAGGAGTCGATATAAACCCCGATAAAGAAAATATTGCCAAACAGTTTGGTTGCACCCGGTTTATTAATCCCAAAACTCTAGGTAAAGAATTATAACTATAAAATAAATTAATTTTAAAATATAACAACATTTCAAATCCTTTTTCCAGACGAACCGATCGAAAGTATACTACAAAAAGAAGGGGGACTGGAGTTTGCCTTCGATTGTATCGGTAATCAACAGGTGATCGACTCGGCCTACAAATCATTGTGCCCCTGGGGGTCACTCACTCTTATCGGTACAA